AAGAGCATGCAGACTTCCATAAGAACATTATTAATGTCCACTGATAAAGGATTCCTCTATAAGGAACTGTATAATTCATGTACAAGAGTTTGAAGACCTTAAGTGGTTTTAACTTTAGAAATATTGTTGTAGAAAAGCACACTATTTTTTTCCACAAGCAAGATACTTCTTCACTTCCCCATCTTCCCTTTTTCCTTAAAATCCTTGCTCACACTGCCTTTGAGAGGAGCATCATGAATTTGTGCCAGGTTGCATGTTCTTTGTCCTTAGAAATGACAGAAAAATTTTGTTGAGTTCTGTCAACCCCCTTCAAGTCACTATGTGAGAGAAAAATGTTGCCTTCTATTTGCAGTCAGTGTTGTCTTTGTGGGTTTAGTGGGGATTTTCATGAGTTCTGTGGGGAAGTATTAAACATGGGTTTGTATGTTTATTTTATTACTGAACATTAGTATGCTGAGGGCACAATGAAGCAGATGATACCCTCTGCTTTGTTGCCTTTGGGAAGGACTCAGACTGTCACAGACTGGCAGCCAAACAGTTTGTTGGAACAGCAGCTTTAGAGTATGACATAATGTGCTTTTGAATCACTTCTGAGTTGAGTCAAAGGAAAAAAAAACCAACAAAAAATGAGTGATTGACTACAGCCCTGGAGAGAGGGGATTTGCCTGACTGTCAGGCTGCTGAGGGGCTCTGGCCTAGATATAAGTGGACTGTGGCTTTTTCTTTCCAGTTTGTACAAAAGCATTTCTAGAGAGGATTCCACTTCCAGTCTGAAGTGCACTTCGGCACTGCTTCTGGGACAGGATCCATAACCCTTGTCTGTTCTCACCTAAAGCTTCATTTTGCTTTATTTGTAAGCTTAGTCTTCTGAATAATTTTAGTGCGGGTGAGCAACTGAGAAACTGTGCTAGAAATTACTTAATTCTTCTGCAAGTAATCCAGCAACTACTAACACAATGTCTGTAAACGGATTCCTTGTGACTGTAGAAGTGAAATAGTGATGGAAATCAAGCACCTATCAGAAATGCCCAGGTAGTGCTTTGCTTTTTGCTAATTCTTCTGTAAAACAGCTTTCAACTTCATTGCTAAGCTTTGACTGTATATTGTAACCTCTTGTTTGATTAGCTAAATATATCCTTCTAGGAGAAAATTGCATATATTTTTCTAATGGTAGATAAAATTGCTCTGGGGGGCAGTGTTTTCAAGAAGAGAGCTCTTAGCCATTCAATGTTTTCACATGAAGCCAAAAAGGTCTTGGAGAAGTGCTAATGTCCATGGGATTTTTCATTCTCATTTCAGGCCAGGATTTCTGGAACTCCATCACCTTGCTGTGCTGATTGCAGATTTGTTTTCCCTCTGGAGCTCAGCTCAAAGCTCTAAAACTTTTGTACCTTATTGTATTCCCATTTGATCCAAAGGAGGAGACTGGTGGAGGTGATGGGGAGGCCGACAAGTATACCAGGAATGAAATTCAGCTGTAAATGAAGAGAGAGGATGAATTTGGTCATACACACCAGGCAGGCTCTGGCCTTGTGTAAATGCAGCTCTTCCTTGCTGCTATCAGGGGTTTTTTTAATGTATTTAAAAGAGAAGTAAATTTGAAATGGCTCAAGATATTTATATTCCTTGTTCAAGCAGAACTGTGAAGGCACTGTAGATGGTATCGTGCAAGAATTGCCCGGGATTTCTGATCTATTCCTTATTCACTAGAATTGCCTGACATACTCCTGGCCGGCAGGGAATGGCATAGGCATCACTTCTGTATTTTGGTCACTGTCTAGGGTTCTCCATACATGAAATTTCATCCTGAACATTCTTTAAAATTATTCCTTGTTTGACAAAGTACTAGTTGTAATTATATTTAACTATGTAAGTGTAATTTTTTATTTCATTAGTCTCTCTTGTGGACACCCAGTCTGAATACAAAGTTTTAAGAATGTTTTGTCTTCTAGTGTTTGTGGTTAGGTTTGTTTAAGTTCTAGAAATGTGAACTTTTGTATTCCAGGTCCTGAATATAAAGCTGTATAGACAAACTTCCAAACTGAATAGCTTCCCAGAGAAATTAGATGAAAGGAGAGTATTTAAGTGCTGCAACAGGTTCCACAGTGAGGTCTGTCTTTGGAGATGGCAGACAAGTTGACTGAATAAAACTGAGCACTGAGCTTAGCCCTGCTTTGCCATAAATGTGGAATGAGATGATCTCAAGAAGTCCTTTCCAGCCTAAGTTGTTTTACGATTGATCTGAATACACCCTACAGTGTTTCTGAAGGGAAATTTAATTTGTATTATTATCAGCATAACATTTTTTGTGGGGGGAGGGGTGTTTAGCAAACTTCTTGAATTCTCAACCTTCTGAGAAAGGTGCCATTTAAAAATGCAAAGAATTGAAATTAATGGGCTGGTATTGATTGCAAAGTGAAACTGAATTTCTTTTACTGCTGTTCAGAAGTCTTTTTGCATTTTAAAAATGTTTGTTAGTATTTAGAGAGAGAGGATATGTTCAAATTTATTTTAAATCTTTTTGATTTTCCTGTTCTAATAAGCTTGAGTTTATGAAATGGAATATTGGCATTTTATATTCTTAAGAAATCCATTTAGTAGTTAGTAGAAATTCTAATCACTCTTGTACCAGTTGATTTGTCTGCTCCATTTGATCTTGTGCAATATTTCTATATCTTATTTTATATCTTCTTAACATTCTGATTATAGTGTATATTTTAAAAAGCCTTCATCCAAAGAGGAGTACCTAAAGAGGGCTTACATGGAGTCTGGAGACAAATTTTGCACAA